CCCCCAACCCTTCCCCCTTACCCCGAGGGTTCCCCGGAAAGCCCCCCCTTTGCCCTTCCCACCAGGTTCCCCCGAAACCAACCCTTGCCTCCTCGCGCTCTACTTCCAGTCGTCGCCGCTCGCGGTCGCATCGCCTCCCGACGGTTCCCCGGCGGGTGCTGTCCGTTTCTTCCGCTCCGCCTTCTCGGCGGAGGTGCCCGCCGAGGCGCGCGCGCTCGGCTGGAACGGTTTCATCGCGTGGAGCTGGAAGCCGGACTGGCGCGACGCGTTCGAGGCGCTGCGGGGCGGCGGCAGCCCCCTGGTCCCTCCGATCATACAGGTGGCCATCCTCAACCGCGAGCCAAGGCGCGTGCTCGAGTTTGTGCGTGCTGTCGGCGCCGAGTTTGCCTTCACGCAGATCGTGCCGTGCCATTTCGACGCGCCGGTGTCGGCGACGCCGAAGGAGTGGAGCGAGGCCTTCAACTTTCTCCGCGCCTCGCCCGTCGGTGGGCCCGGCGCGAGAGGCGACTTGCCCGCCGCGGACCTCGCCTTCCTCCGCGCGTTCGAGGCGGGGCTCGTGCGGGCGGGCACGATCCGCAGGGCGGCGCCCAGGGTCTAGAGGCTCACGCGCGTGACGGGGAGTAGGACGCTACGTTGGTGAGCAAGACCGCAGCCGCTAGAGGAAGAGAGCGAACCTAACGTACAGCCCAGCAGGCGCCGCAGCTGGGTTTCTTTGCACTGTTGTATTCGGTTTACTTTTATTTACTTCACTGAGAACGCGATTCCGATTGTGGTACGCCACATCCGCATACGTCCTCGCCTCATACGCCGCCGCCGCAGGCCCCGTGCACACTAGGTTAGCTTAAGGGAGAAGAGAAGAGGGAGAGCGGGGTGTGTTCGTATCGAAGGCCATCCGCAGACCATAGGTAGGTAGGTAGAAAGGTGAAGAACAGCCTGGCTCGGACTGGAAAATCAGAAAAAAAGAAAACACGCACGCGCATGACAAGGGAAGCCTGGGCCCCGGCGGGCGGCGCTCCGGCGTCGAGAAGGCGGACACGGCAGGGTGTTCGCTAGTGGGAACATCCTTTGGGCAGCCCAATGCCTGGCACGCCGGCCATGCCGCAGCCGACGGCAGGCTATCTTGAGAGGAAGCGTGCCGCGGCGCCACGCATTGCCGCTTTGGACTCGGGAGCTCCGGTAGACGTGCTCCAGATGGCTAGCGAACCGCACACGCCTGTGCTCTATAACTTTGTCCCGGCGCCGTGCGGCTGGACAAGCGTATGCGTCGACGGCCTCACCCTGCTCAACCTGGTCTGGACCACCAGAGTGCAAGTCCTATCGCATGCGGCGGACGGAGGGTGAATCCTTGTGGCCGCCCGCCCGCGAGCAGTCCGCCTCGCGTGACACCGGCCGAGCCGTCTCTGCGCGCAGGCCGGCAACCATCTCCTATGGCACGCCGGTCCACGGCGTCGATTACCCGAGCACGGTCAGGGTGGATCCTCGCTCTGTGACGGCCAACTCAAAACTGGGCGACGGCGCGGGAACCAACTTTGAGCTCGACGACGACTTGGTGCTGCGGATGACGTACGAGCGGTTCGGGACGGAGCTGCAGTTTGTCCTGGCCGGGCCGAACTCGGTGAGCATCGCCGAAGCGCAGACTCTATCCACGTGCAGTGGCTGCGTGAGTGGCGCCGTCGCAGCCATGCAGACGTGCTGCGTGCCGTGCGTGCGGCTGGCGCGCGCAGCCAACTGCTACATGTGATGAGACCGCTCGAGTCGCAGGACCTTGGAGAGCCATGTGACACGTGTGATGATTCCTGACCAGAGTTGCCCCAACTCTCGTCACAGAGATAATGCGTGTCTCTGTGTGGCGTCTGGCGATGCCTTTCCCTGAGAACGCACACAACGCCTCGTGTGTAATGCCCCGTGTGTTCCGCGAGTGCGTGTGCCGCGTCGTCCGTGCTAAGACGTGTGTAACACTGACTGACTGACTGATTAAATACAGACTTAAATCTCTCATATGGTGGTCTTGCCGATATGTCATGTCCGCAAACCGTTTTGCTGTTTGAGAGACACGGGCATGAGCGCGTTTCTCTCCGCCGGCTTGTCGGATGCTGTGCACTATATACATGTGCACCGGCAACCGGCGCCGTTAAACTCACTGACGATGGAGACGCACGGCTGCACACAGCCGCACACAGCCGCGCGTGCTGCGGATGCTGCTGTGCGGCCGGCAACAAAGCTGTAGGACACCAACCAGAGACTGCGACCCGGCATTGCTTTCAGTCCCATCCCATCCAATACTTGGCCTCGGCGAGCAATCGATTCAGAATCTGCTTCGTGTTTGCGATTAAGACGAAGATGAAGATCAGCTTCAGCGCTCTCTTCCCGTTGAAAGGCTCCACTTCGAACCCCTCGCCGATGCGAACACCGCTTCCCTCGTCATCGCTCGATTGTGTGTCTGCATCTTTGGGCGCCTGCCCTTTCTTCTTGCGCGAAGCGGGCGGCATCTGCCAGGTGAGAGTCCTTGACGTCGAGCGAAGAAGAGATCAGAGCAACAAGAATTTGACGTCTAGCGAAGAAAAAATCAAATTCGAAAGAAAAAACTCAGAACACTAGGCACGGGAGGAGAGGACCACGGCGAGGCACATAGGTGCGTGCACTCGACCGCCCTCGCCGCAGGCAAAGAACTTTAGGTGGGGCAAGGAGGGGGGGGGGGGGGGGGCAACATCTAGGATCCAGACGACAGGAGCGGCCCACGGCAGTAAAAGTGCAAGGCCCAGTGCGCGTGGGTAATGGCTGCAATAACTGTGTATCGCGCGCCTTGCGGGGGGGGGCGCGGAAAAGAGGAACCTCTTGGCGTCATCGCCATGGTGCTGCAAGCAGCGCCGGGCAACGACGACTTACCGCCTCCCGGTCCCCCTCGGCACACCTCCGCGGCTTAATGTTTGACGACTCGAACCCGTGAAGCTTCCCCGTGCGCGGGTTACCCCGCACACGGGTCAGCCCGCCAGCCACGTATCCACGCAAGCGTGGTCCGCGCGCATGGGGCATACAGGCGTTCGCCAGACAGCGCAGAGGCTAGGCGACCGGGGAAGGACTAGCTCAAGGGCAACACAGCGTCGCCAGCCGTTGGCGCGCAGAACGAGTCTGCGGCCCCCGGTTGGGACGAGTGCGCGACGCGGACGAACCGCTCAATGTGGCCGGCAGCTCGCGCTGCCGGCGGGGTTGACTCCTCTGCACAGCTGTGGATTACGAGCGGCGAAGCACCATCTCGGGCTGTATGTCATAAAAAAGAAAACCATAGCGCGTACCGACTGCACTCCAAGTGCTCCAAGTGCGCGCCCATGCGAGATCAACCTCTCCATCTCCCCCGCCTCGGCTCCCCGACCCGCACACTCGGCCTCGGCCGTGTGTCTCGACATGTACATGTCCAGAAGATGTAAGATAGCGAGCACGCGCCGCGCAGCACCCCCACGGGCTGCCTCGCGCCGAGAACATGTGCATGCACATGTTCATCCCGAGACGTCCTTCACGAGATGCAGATGGCCGTGACCCAGCACAGCACCTCATCGAGGGAACCCCACCCCCTTAGCCCCTATCACTGACTCCGCTACCTCCTGTGCCCCCCTCTCGGCCCCTGCCCCCTTCACTGGCATATCCCCCATGAGCTCCCCGTCTGTGATTACCTGCCGCTGCAGTCAGAGCAGCCGCTGCAGCCATTCCACGTGCATAGGTCGTCCCATGTGTCGGTCCGCCGCGCGCAGTGATTCTTGCATGATGTGCCGCCCGCCATTGGCGCTGGTGCGGTCGGTGGGAGAGAGTCGATGCAGTCTGAGCAGCCGCCGCAGCCATTCCACGCGCAAAGCTCTTCCCACGGATCTGTCTTTGTCGCGCAGTGCTTCTTGCAAAGAGCCGGAGGGGCTGGTGGCGACAAGGCTGGCGTTGGTAGGTCGAAGCAGCTCGGGCAGCCGCCGCAGCCATCCCACGAGCATCGCACGTCCCAAGGGTCTGTCTTGCGCATGCAGAAGCTCTTGCACGATGGAGTCGGTGGTCCCGACGGCGAAAGTGGGATCGCACCTCGCGAGGGGTCGGAGCAATGCGTACAACCTCCACAGGCGTCCCTCTTGCAGAGCGCCTTCCACCCGATTTCTGTCTCCTTGTTGGCGCAATACGCCTTGCACCGCGGTGCAGGTGGCGAGGCAGGCGGCGGAAGCGGCGGGATCGACGGCAGGTTGAAGCAGGGTGAGCAGCCTCTGCAACCCTTCCAAGTGCACAGATCGCCCCACGGATCTGGCCTTGTCGCGCAGTGCTTCTTGCACGGCAGTGGCGGCGCCAGTGGTGGTGGCATAGCAGGTGTCGATTGGGGCGCGGATGGCGGCGAGATCGACGGCAGGTTGAAGCAGGGTGAGCAGCCTCTGCAACCCTTCCAAGTGCACAGATCGCCCCACGGATCTGGCCTTGTCGCGCAGTGCTTCTTGCACGGCAGTGGCGGCGCCAGTGGTGGTGGCATAGCAGGTGTCGATTGGGGCGCGGATGGCGGCGGGATCGACGGCAGTTTGAAGCAGGGTGAGCAGCCTCTGCAACCCTTCCAAGTGCACAGATCGCCCCACGGATCTGGCCTTGTCGCGCAGTGCTTCTTGCACGGCAGTGGCGGCGCCAGTGGTGGTGGCATAGCAGGTGTCGATTGGGGCGCGGATGGCGGCGGCGGCGAGGGCGACGTTGACGGCGGCGGCGGCGAGGGCGGAATGGAGGGATGCGGCTGCGAGGGCGAGGCGGACGGCTGGGGCGGGGGCGGCGATGGTGGCTGGAGCGGGGGTGGAGCAACGCAGCAGCCTCCGAACGCGCACGTCGGGCAGCTCGTCTCGAGGGCATCACAAGACAAGAACGAGTACATCGAGCATGACAGCCCGTTACACGTTCCTTCACAGCCTAGCGGCGGCGGGGATGGCGGTGGCGAGGACGGCGGCGGCGGGGACGGAGGCGGCGGGGACGGAGGCGGCAGGGATGGCGGTGGCGGGGACGGCCGCGGCGAGTACGGTGGCGGCGAGTACGGCGGCGGCGAGTACGGCGGCGGCGAGTACGGCGGCGGGGGTGGTGTGGGCAGCGCTTGCGGACAGACGAGAGACGTTTGAACGAAGCCGCCCTTGCCATCCATGAGGGACGAGCCGCGATCGATCCCAAGCTTGCCGCCGCACGGCTCTGAACCCAATTTACGGCGCCGCGTGCCGTCCACCCCGCTGGCTGGTGTCCAGACAAAGACATCGAAGGGACACGCTTCGGCGGCGGGCGTCTGAGAGATTGAGATGGTCCCAGAGGCGTCGATCGCGCCCTCGGGATTGCCGGGGTGGATGTGAGCGCACTGCGAGAATGCATACCCGGCCGCCTCGATCGCATCTGTGCGGCGCTGGAAAGTGACGACCACCTTGTCCCTCACCGCCTTGTCGGGCTCACAGCCAGCCTCCTCCCCCGGCGTCGAGCAGCCTGCGGGCGGGGGCGACTGGAACGAGATGTCGTGATTGATGTAGTCAAGCCCGAGGCCCGTCGTTGCTGCGATCCCCGAGTCGACGTTCAGAAGGAAGAGCTCCAGCGCCATGGCGGTTGCTGGCAGCTGGATCATCGTCCACGTGCCTCGGCCGAGCACCTCGGCCCACACGAAGGAAAGGATCCCGTCTGAGCCTAAAACAAGTTTCCAAGCGATCCAAGTCAAGGTCGGTAAAAGGAGCGGATCCCTGGGCGCGGGAGCACGGGACATGTTTTGTAGTCAGTTAGCTCCTCTTGTAGCTCGATCGGTCTCACCGCCATCGCCGTACCGTGTTTGTTATGACCCCCCCCAATGAACACACCAGTGAGGGAGGGCGAGACGATCGAGGGGTCCCGTACCATGCGGAATCGACCCTATCCGGTGCTCAAGTGCTCAACGAGCTACCAACCATGTGGGTGGGAGAGAGGCGGCATGATCCCCTTCGTTCATTCATTCATTCCAAACTTAAATTCCCTGTGTGGTGGCGGCGTGCCGTCCTCCCATCCCTCCCTTGGCTGTCTTTTCTTTCTTTTCATTCCAGCCTGATTGGTGTCCATCCAGTCCGAGCGAGCCTGGCTGTTCTTCACCTTGCTACCTACCTAACCTAACCTGATTCTGTTGTGTCTCGCGCCTTGGGGGGGTGGGGGTGGGGGGGACCTCTTCGATTGCCTCTGTGTACTGGAAGTTCCTTGCGGTCCGAGGTAACAAACACACATGCTTTGGATGGTGTGTGTTATAACAAGGCTGTGAAAGCGAAATTTTGCGCAGCGCGGCGCCGCCAGCTGGGATTGGCGCCCGCCTCGGCGGTGAACGAGCGGTTTTTCCTGGCCACAGTGCCGGCGGCGCCGTGCGGCGAGGCAAACCATGCGAGACTTCTTCGTCGGGCTCCTCGTGTACCCTTTCATGCTCCTCGTGGGCCTTCTCGAGGCACTCCTCGGCTTCTTGCTGGTTCTCGCCCCGCTATGTGTTCACCTGGCGACGAAGGGCGCGCCGCGCTCTTACGACGGCTGGTTTTCCGTGTTCAGCTCCGTGCCATGTGGGCGCCGGGCCTTCTCCTCGCTGATTGGCGTCATCGCGCCGTACACCGCGTCGATCGGAGCCACGCTCCAGGAAGTCAGCGCCTCGTCCGTCACAGCGAGCATGCCTGACCGGCCGTGGCTGCGGAACCCCTTCTCCTCGGTCCACGCCATCGCGCTCGCCAATTTGGGCGAGCTGACGACGGGGATCGCCGTGCTGAGCGCGCTGCAGGGGCTCAAGTCGGTCCGCGGGATCCCCGTCGCGGTCAACACGTCCTACGAGAAGAAGGCGAGGACTCCGAGACGCCTCGCGCAGACGCACGTGCCCGTTTTCCTTCCTTTGTGGACGCGCCATCTGAGACACCCCGCCCCGCCTGCTCCAGCGCGGCGCTCGGCTGCCACCGCCGCCTCACCGCCTCCTCCTACGCGCAGGCGAGGGGCACCGTCACGTGCACCTGCTCCATGGCCAGCGTGCTCGAGGCGCTCAGAGACGTGCAGGAGCCGTGCCGAAAGCCGATCGAGGGCGTCCTGACCAACGCCAAGGGCGAGCGCGTCGCCGTGTGCAGCGTCGTCTGGGCCTTCTCGCTCAACCTCAAGCAAAAGGGGGAGAACGCAGCGGCCACGTGAGATCTCTCACACGCGCCCCAATTTTAAGCAACTTCTTCCGGCCGGTAAAGGCGCAATTTTAAGCAACTTCTTCCGGCCGGTAAAGGCGCAATTTTAAGAAAGGGAGGACACGTTCGGCACCGGGCACCGCGTCGGTACAAAAATGCGCGTGGGGCAGTGAGGCGTGAATCCGTTAGGATTCTCGCCCGCTCTGCTGAGGGGAGGGGACGGTCGACTGGGCCGGTCGCTCGACCCGATTCTACTCTACTATCAGTCTTACCATTCATGGACAAGAGTGTCTGTGACGGCAGTGACATTCACAGCGAGGTCAGTTCACAGCCGAGCAGCCGATCCTGACACGCTCCACTTTCAGGGCTCGCCGCGGCTCGAGCAAGGTCTATGTCGATCGGCATCTTGCCAGCCTGTGGCTCGTCCGTCTACCGCTACCGCGCCTACCAGATATAGTCGCAGATGCAGGCTTGCGTTGGCGTGAGACCTCATTCGTCCACGCTGGCGCTTGCGGTGCCATTCTGTGCTGTGGTTCTCGTGCGGTTTTATCGTTCTTCGTTGCGATTGCCGTGGTGGCGGTGGGTGCAGCCGAGCCGAGTGTCGTCGTTGACGGCATCGCGCTCGTCTTTCGACTGCCTCGCTTCTTCTACCGACACGGAGACACGTGGGTCAGCGCGCAGTCGAAGATCTGGTATGCGTTTATCTTCTGTTGTCGTCGAGATTTCCGGCTGGGTCAGCTCACCGATGCGGCCCCGACCGGCCTTCGCGACAGCATCTGCGACGCTGCTCAGCCGCTGACGCCGCGAGAGTGGATCGCCATGGCGTGGCCAGCAGTACGGCTAGCTATGTCAGTGTCATTACCGTTGCAGTGATGTGGGACCCTCTGGCCAGCCTCTGGCACCATCTTGGATGCCGGCGCGGGTCCCCAGACTTGGACATATGCCAGTGGTGGCAGTCCATCCTCGCCTACCTCCGCACTGGAGGCAGGTAGTCGTAATATGGTCGAGTCTGGCGTCGATAGGACACAGGCCGACTCATTCTGCTTCAGTCCGCGCGCGCTGTCCCTGCAACCCACTTCGGCCCATCGACGGCCAGCACCCAGTGTCTGATTGACCCGCCGGCTGTGCGTCAGCAGCGGCTTCAGACGGGTCTGCGCCTGACGGGGATTTTGCATTGACGGGCTCTGCAGACAGCGCGTAGAAGCAACGACGCGAGGCCGTGGCCACAGTGTGGACTGCTGTGGTCTTCGGGATGGTCGCCGTGGTTTGCCTTTGCGGATCTATATGACAGATGCTCTGGATCCGCGCTCTGCTCAGTGCAGGGTGGTGAACCGCGAGCGTACTACTCGTAGCGACTGCAACCGCTGCGGATCAGGAGGCGATGCCACCTCGAGCCTGTACGCTCGCTGAATTCAGCTGTGGTCCTGCCGGGAGCAGGGCCTGGCTGACTCTCGCGCTCGTGTAACTGGTCTCAGGGACCGAGCGTCGGAGACGAGAGTATCTCCAGCTGTTGGTCCTGCCGGGAGCAGAACCCAGCTGGCTCGTACTCGTGTTCCTGCGGGGACCGGGTGCGAGTTGATACTTTCAAACGTCCGGATGGACAGTGTCAACCGTATTCGTGTTACTGCCGGGAGCAGCGGCCGGGTACGGGCGACATACATTCAGTGGGCCAGACAAGAGGTTGAGGCATCCCCGCCTTTGATTCCAGGGCGGTCGAGCAGCGGCCTGCAGGTGGCGGGCTGCTGCCGACCGACCCTAGGCTCCCGTTCAGCTTTCTTCCGCGTGTCGCATGGCCGTGGATGGAGGTATGGGCGAGGGTCGACCTCACTCGCCGCCGTTAATTACGGCAGACGCGGTCGGCCCCGTCTCGACGCCCTCAAGGGCGGGGGACGGGCCACGACATGCCGCCCTCCGAGTAGTTATGGAGGTATGTGGCGCCGTCAACATGCTCCCGAGTAAGTCGGTGTGGCTGGGAGCGCCCCGCACGACTACCCGTCCTAAATGGGGATCGTGGTCTTCGTGTGGGGCAACAGGCGAGTGCGGCGCGCTCCACGGTCAATCTCCGACCCTTCGACCCGCGTGGCGTAGGGTCTGAGAGACGGCCGCCGAGGATGTCGGGCGGGTTCGGTTGCGGTCGGATGGACCTGTCACTGATGACACCGACTCGACTGGGGCGTTGCCGGAGGCGATGGCGGGAGGGCACTCGATGGGCCCGCCATCGACCACTGATAGGAGATTGGCGCGTGGGCCATGGTTGTTGGGCGCGTGGGCCGAGGTGGTTGGCGCGTGGGCCAAGGGTGGACGAGGATGGCCAAGGCTGGCCGAGATAGGCCGAGGTTGGCCGAGATTGGCCGAGGTCGGCCGAGGTTGGCCGGGGTTGGCCGAGATTGCCCGAGATTTGCCGAGATTTGCCGAGATTGGCCGAGATCGGCCGAGGCAGTCCAGAGATCCGCCGAGAGCGTCCCTCACTCGCCTTTTTCTGTGTAGGGACTTTGAGTAGATGCTTGACTAGTCTCACGCTCGGATTCAGATTCAGAGAGATCTACTGGCTGCTACCAGGACCAGCTCTGGGCGCACGCCAGATGGGCAGGTTGATCGATCCACTCGTGGTCGATCTTTCAGTTGCCTCGCGCGACGCATGATGATTGCGGCCGATGTCGTCGATGGGGCAACAGTGGTCGATTGACGACGCGGTTGGAGAGTGCTCTTCGACGTCGAAGCAGCAGTCCGTATGGGCAGGATCTTCAACTCGTTCAGTTAAAATTTTGGTCACGACGAAGCAGCAATCAGGTCGGCAGCTGCTATCGTTTAAGTCGACAGTGGCAACGGTGTTTGACACTGTTGATGAGTGCAACTGTGGCGTGCTTGCCACCCAAGCGAGTGTAGGCCCGACTCGCGTCGGGTGCTATTTCCTCATCGTCATCGCTACGGCGGGGGCGGGGGGGTTTTACCGGAGCACCGGACTACTCGCTGGGATAGTTGCGAGATCGGTCGATAATCACGATCGGTCGCTCGGGCGCATGGTCGTGCGACGTCAGCGACCCAACCGCCAGTTGCCCTTATCTTTGACTGTGATTCAAGGAGGTCTATGCGTGGGGTTCAGCTGAGCTTAGGCCGTTCCGGGCGTCGACCTTCCAACATACCACATCAAAGGCCGAGCGTGGGGGAGGCTCAGCAGCCCACCACCAGGGAGGTTTCGTCAGTCTCGGCGTCGCATCTGCCGCGCCGAGATTCGACGGACCGAAGGGGTAGAGGCTAGCGCTCTCGGTCGAGAGACGCGCAATACTCAAGACAAATTACTACCACCTTCGTACAACTCAACGTGCATTCATGCAACGCGTGCAACGCTGCACAGTGCTCAGGGTTCGAGCAGGTGCAGGCGAGTGGAGGGGCCCCTGGCAGAGGAGGCGTGAATCCGTTAGGATTCTCGCCCGCTCTGCTGAGGGGAGGGGACGGTCGACTGGGCCGGTCGCTCGACCCGATTCTACTCTACTATCAGTCTTACCATTCATGGACAAGAGTGTCTGTGACGGCAGTGACATTCACAGCGAGGTCAGTTCACAGCCGAGCAGCCGATCCTGACACGCTCCACTTTCAGGGCTCGCCGCGGCTCGAGCAAGGTCTATGTCGATCGGCATCTTGCCAGCCTGTGGCTCGTCCGTCTACCGCTACCGCGCCTACCAGATATAGTCGCCCCTCCCGCCCACGCCGGCGACTGTCTTAGGTACAGATGACATCTGGATGACTGCGCATAATGGGGTTGACCCGCCGCGCAGCAACCCGATGTTCACTACTTAGGTTTCCGTCGAGTGACGAGTCTCGTCCGAGACATCTAGTCTCATCCCGCCTCGTGGCATGTGTTGTCTAGGGTGTCACGAGTGTCCCTGTGGTGTTCTTGTGTGGGGGGAGGCTCAGCAGCCCACCACCAGGGAGGTTTCGTCAGTCTCGGCGTCGCATCTGCCGCGCCGAGATTCGACGGACCGAAGGGGTAGAGGCTAGCGCTCTCGGTCGAGAGACGCGCAATACTCAAGACAAATTACTACCACCTTCGTACAACTCAACGTGCATTCATGCAACGCGTGCAACGCTGCACAGTGCTCAGGGTTCGAGCAGGTGCAGGCGAGTGGAGGGGCCCCTGGCAGAGACTGTTCTTTACGCCACCTTGCTCAACCCTTGCGTTGGTGACCGTCGCGGCTTCGCGTCACTTCTAAGCCACGAGGACGTACTCCGCAGGCACCCACGCTACATGACCTCGGCGGCGCTCATCTGCGCGGCCGCCGCCAGCTTTCTGGTCGGCGGCGGCCCTCGGGCGCCTGCGGCGCTGCCGCGTGCGAGCCGCATCATCGCCGCAATCGACTACAAGGACCCGGCGGTGGCCGCCGAGTTCCAAAAGGTGCAGGAGCGGCCGATCGAGCTCGTCGAGGCCGAGATCGAGAAGAGCGGCGTCCCGGTCCCTCCGTCGCTCAACGAGATGGACATGCGGCTGATGCTGGTGGAGCTGCGGATGCGAAAGGCGGGGACGATGCCGGGCGGCGGCAAGGCGGCGCCGAAGAAGCCTGCGAACTACGGCTCAAAGTACGAGGAGGCGCTCTGGGAGAAGCCCGCCTTCAAGCGCCTGATCGACGACTACCGCGCGCGCGGCAACACAAACGCGCTCAACCTCGCGACGGTCCGAGATAGCCGAGATACAATCTCGCGACGGTCGAGATAGCCGAGATACAATCTCGCGACGGGCCGCCTCTCTCCTCGGCCCCACTCTGCTCCCGCTCGCGCGCGCGCCGCTCACGCGCGCCCTCCATGGCGCCCCGCTCCACGCGTCTCTCCAAACTCTCGCCTCCAAACTCTCGCGCTCCCGACGCGGACACACAGCGCCGCCCCGCACAAGTCCAAGTGCCATGAGGTGCGCCTCTAGCTCACGCGAGTCCACCTCCAGCCGACGGCGGGACACGGAGCCGCCCCACGGGCAGACACCCCACGGCACGGGGGAGAGCAGCGTGCAGCCCTGACCCGCCGTGTCGCCGCACCCCAGTCAGACGACAGCCAGTCAGTCAGTGGTACACACGTCTAGCACGGACGACGGAGCACACGCACTCGCGGAACACAGGGCATTACACACGAGGCGGTGTGTGCGTTCTCAGGGAGAGGCATCACCACAGACAAAAGTGCAATAGTCAGAGGGGCAGCAGTGGAGACCCCAGCACCCCACTCACGCACCCCAGTCAGCCCACGTGTGATAACGTCAGTGTAGTCCAAATAGCCGCCAGCAGCCGTCCCTCGTAGAGCCGCCCCTCGTAGAGCCGCCCCCGCACTTCCTCCGCCCGCCCCGACTCGAAGGCGTCTCACTCGTTCGTCGTCCTCACAAAACCG